AACGGTTGGCGGCCTGTCTGTCGGAGGCGGTGATCGCGCAGCGGTCCGAGTGGTGCCATGTCGTTCTGCAGCTTCTTCGGGGGCGAGGCGTTCCAGAACCACTTTGAGCCGGGTTCGTGCCGCGGCCGGCTGGGGAGCGTCGGCGGGCGTCGTTGCCCTCGGCGGAGATGGAGCCCCGAGAAGGAGAATGGGGCGTGTGGCCGCGGGAGAGAAGCGGCCGCGGGTCAAGCGGATGGCGGAGGAGGGCGGAGTCTGCGAGGCGGGGAAAGCAGGATACCCAAGGAGAGGGGACGTTAGAGGGAGGGGTCGCTGACCTGAAGGAGGACAGGTCTCCAGGGTCAAAGAGGCCGTTTCCGGGGCGACTCTGGGGGGCCAGGGTACATGGACGTGGTGGCGCTGGTGGGGCATCCGGGTAAGGGTCGGGCCTTCGCAGGGTCGCGATGGAAGGTCTTGTCCACGGGAGGTCCTGTGACTGGGCTGTCCATCCCCCTAGCCTTTCCCGTTCCCCCGTTTTTTGGGATCCTCGGAATGGCTCACTCAGTAAGAACAGAATGTCCCGTTCCCGATCGGGTGTGCCCTCCAGGTGCTTCCCCTACCTGCCCAGGGCCAGTGAACTTTTGCCAGTGAAGTTTGACTAGACAGACTGGTGGTCTGGGCCATGTCCAGCCCTCAGCACTAGCCCAGGCTGCCAGAGGCCCTGCGAGTCCCCTTGGGGGCTGGGCTGGCCTGGTAGTGGACTAATTTGGTAAAAACACATCCACAGGCAAGACTAGGGCATTGGCCTCCCTGGGGTGGAATCCACCGGTGTCAGCCCTCTAGGGGGCTGGGCTGGGACACAGGACCACCCGGCACAGCCCTCCCCAGAGACCTCTGGCTGTGGGACCCCAGCTGTCCTCAGGCTGCTCTGTCAAGCCAGAAGCTCCACTCCCTTCGCGGATTCTAGTTCCTCATTGCCTTCTTCTCCAGTTCCTGGTAAAGGCCGAGTAGTTCACAGACTCAGGGAGGCTGTCCCCAGGTGATTCAGTGCCCCAGAGGTTCCTTGTTTTAGTCCTTCAGATAGTTCTGCAAGTCACTTTTGCAACCTTCCCTGCCCCCTCCGCCCCAGGGTGATATTTTAGGGATCCTCTTCCCCAGCTCTCTGTCTTCCTGGGCTCCCTGTTTGGCCTGGAGGCCTTTTCTCTGGGACCATTCTCTTCCTGCCTGGAGAGCAGGCCAGTGGCTGGGTGTCCAGCTCAGGGCTTTGCTGGGGAGCAGGGATGGCCACTTGAGGAGGGGCCGGGTGGTTGTGCTGGTCAGGGCCCCACCAAGTGGGTCCCAAAGGGGCGGGGTGGGAGTGGGTGTCCTCATCACACTCCCAGGTTCCTGCAGCGTCTGCGTATCACCACACCTCACTCGGGGGATGGAACGGGTGAAAGATTCCACGTCACAGGGCTATTGAGAAGAGCGAGGAGATAAGTGTGAGAAGCGACTCTCCTGGTCTCTGGCACAGCCACTAAATATGAGCTCAGTGCTGTGTCTCCCCCACAGAGCCAACCTGAGGCCTGCGAGTGGCGGGCGCATGGGGAGGGAGTGCAGCCCACCCCCAGAATGGGGCAGGGCTGCCTCTGCCTGGGTCCAAGGATTTGGGAGCTCGCCCCCAAGAGGCTGGAGCCAATGTCTCTGCCTTTGCCCTTCCCCTGCCCCAGGTATCTACGTGTGTGCCAAGTGTGGCTACGAGCTCTTCTCCAGCCGCTCGAAGTACGCACACTCGTCGCCATGGCCAGCATTCACCGAGACCATCCACGCTGATAGTGTGGCCAAGCGTCCAGAGTACAACCGACCTGAAGCCCTAAAGGTAGGTGGCAGGGGCAGGGGCTGGAGAGCCAGGGAGGGCCAGAGAGCCAGTCCCACCTTCCCCGCTCTGCTCACCCCGCAGCTCCAGGGGCTTAGAGTCTGCCTCTTCCAGGCCTCTGGCCTCAGTCAGGGCTGCCAGCCCAGACTATTGGGAGAGCCTGGTGTCCTGGGGGAACATGGGAAACAGGACAGCCTTCCTGGGTTGGCCCCAGGATGAAGGTCGATCTCATGTGGGCAGCTAGCTTGGGTGATGGGCTTGCGGGGAGAGACACCATCTGCTGGTAGCACCAAGGGTCATAGCTGCGGCTGTTTCACAGCCAGAGCTCAAGTGGCTGCTTTGTGGTCTTCCCAGGTGTCCTGTGGCAGGTGTGGCAATGGGTTGGGCCACGAGTTCCTGAATGATGGCCCCAAGCGGGGACAGTCCCGATTCTGAATATTCAGCAGCTCGCTGAAGTTCATCCCTAAAGGTGAGTGCTCCTCGCACAGCTGGTACCGGCCTGTCGCAGGTCTCAGGGTCTGGGTGGAGGAGCACACTGCTCATCCACTTGTCATGACAAAGTACAGGGGGCACCAGATCACACTGCCAGAACTAACTGCCCAGCCCCACCCCCAAAGGTGGCTGTGGGGCAGGGACGAGAGGACAGACGCTCTGCTTCCTCTGCCTTGATCATGGGTTCCCCGAAAGAGGTATCTGAGGGAGAACGTGGCAGAGGGTTTTCTCCAGAGGCCTGGCCTTTCCCCGGGCTAATGTCAGAGGCGGGTGGGCGGGGGCTGGGGACCTGGGCTGTGCGCGTCTCCTCCCGGCTGTCGCCGTGGGCTTGCCCGTCAGCCTGGCTAGCCCGGCTCCTCCTCTGCTGAGTGGCGCGTGGCAGAGCCTCTTTCACAGGCCGTCAAGGACTAGCGCACTTAGCGTGCGCCCGGGCCCGGCACAGAGCGACAGCTCAGTGAGTCCGCGCTGCTGTTGCCAGTGTTCCCACTGTGTGCAGTGTGTGTCTGGGGAGTTGTCACCTGGTGCATTTCATCTGAGAGCGGCCTCCTCTGGCCCAGTGTCCTCACCCTCGCGCAGATCCTCGTGTGTCATCGCACGTCCGTCTGCAGGCCCAGCCACGCGCCGTAGTTTGAGTCCAGGCCCCCCCTTGCTATCCACAGGCCCGCGGCCGGTTCCCGGATCCCAGCCTACTCCTCGCAGGATGGGCTCTCAGCACGCGTTCGCTGCCGTCGCTGTGCCGGGGGGCTGTGAGCGGGCTGCAGGGCCCGGCGCGTGGCAAGCGTGCGGTGACATTTTGTCCTTTTGTTATTTGTCCGTCATCTGTGTGGAGAAAGAAGAGATTCTGGGTTCTCCTGTAGATCTCAGGGAACAAAATGGGCAAATGGAGTGGCCACGAGCCAGGCATCTTGTCCCTCCCTCTCCCGGCCCAGAGGGGACGTGTCTGAAGCGTGACTTCATGGTGACTTGCTCTTCTCTCCCCACTTCCTTTCTTTCAGGCAAAGAAACTTCTGCCTCCCAGGGACACTAGGCGGCAGCCCACACTCCAGATGGACCTGACACCATGGCCACGTTCTGGCCATCCTACCTTGGAACTGGAACCCCAGACATTCAGACAGGGAAGCCGGGGGTGGCGGGGGGTGGCTGAAACCTCAGGGAGGCTCCCCCGCCTTGGCTCCGAACAGGGTCTCCTTCGCTGGTAGCTCACACCCCCTGCCAGGACCGGCCAGCTGCCTCGGCCTCCCGCTCGGTCAAGCAGTCTCCAAGGAGGTGGGCTCTGGGTGCAGCTCATCTTTGAGTGACGTCACACCTTCGCCTTCTCTTCTCGGCCCACTGCTTGCTCCCTGTCTGTCTGGACTCACCCCGTGGGGTCCAGCTCCAAAGCCCTGGTCCTCACCAAAGCTTATACCCACATCCCCTGGCTGTGCTAGGTGACAGATGCAACAGAAGCTGCCCTGGCCAGCTGCTCCAGCCCTGGTCACTTCATGATCCCCTCTGGCTAAACCCTTTCAGGCCAGCCAGAGTGGTGATGTCCATGACCTGCTGGGGGAGCAGGCCGGTGGGACACACCCTTGGTCTCTCATCTGTGAAGGGAGAAGCCTAAACGCCATTTCACAATCTGTGCGGATGTAGTTTGCCTCACTCGGGCTTAGGAAAGTGGCTGTTGCTCCATGCTGTAACCAGCACAGTGCTGGGGCCCTGGAGTTTACACCCTGCAGAGACGTCCGTTCCCGAGATACGGGACCGTGCCTTACTGTACATGCTCAGCGCTCTTGCCATGTGGGAGGTGGGCGATGCTGACATCCCCCCACCCATCTTAAATATTTTCTGGAGTAATCCGGTGGAAATCAATAAACAAATGAAACCCAAGCCTGCTGTCTGTTTTTGTTTTTTTTTTTTGGAGACAGGGTCTTGCTGTCTCCCAGGCAGGAGTGCAGTAGCTTCATCGTAGCTCACTGCAGCCTCCAACTCCTGGGCTCAAGTGACCATCTTGCCACAGCCTCCCAAGGAGCTGGGGCTACAGACACACAGCAAATTTAAAAAAGTGTTTTGTAGAGATGGATCTTACTACGTTGCTCAGGCTGGCCTCAAGCAATCCTCCCACCTCAGCTTCCCAAAGTGCTGGGATTACAGGTGCGCGCTGCTGTGCTCAGCTGGGCCTGCTGTCTGTATGCCAGGACATGAACGGTGGACCTTTGCACAGTTTAAAAATATTTGTTGAGCATCTGCTGTGTGCCCGGTTCTGGGCTTGGTGCTGGGGATTCGGCTGTGAGCAAGATGGGGTCCCGGCCACCGGGGTGCACGGCGTAGCTGGGGAGGCGCGTGGCAGTCAGTCAATGTCAGGTCCTCACAGGGCGGGGAGCAACGGAAGCGTAACGATGCCAGAATGTGGGGGGCGGGTGGGTGACTGAGGGGCTGCTCCTGTGGCTCCACAGGTCAGGGAGGAGGACTCTGAGGAGGGGTTGTCTCAGCTCAGCAGTGACAGGTGAGAACCGAGGAGAGCAGCTCCCAGGCAGTGGGCACAGCACGTGCAAAAGCCCCGAGCCCTCAGCAAACCTGGCGTGGCCGGGGCCCTGAAGGGGGAGGTTCAAGGTGTGACCCATGAGGGGATGCTCTATACTCCAAAAGAACTACGCGATTTCCCCAATTTATATTGATAGAAATCTGGGGAAGAGTGTGAGAATGGATATTGAGGGTGGGCGTTTTGTCCTTCTGGGCCCACGGCTGGAATCGCCCCAAAAGTGGTACCGGGAAGTTGCCACAAGGGAGTGCCCCAAGCCATCCTGAAATGGGGCTGGCTGGGACCCAAAGACAGCAGCGCCGAGCGCCGGGGTGCTCAGTCCGAAGCTTGCATTAGGGGAACTTGCTCACCAAGGGTGGCAGCCATCCTTGCAACGGCGAGAGGAAAGAGGTGTCCTACCTAGGTGAGTCCATAGCCAGGGGTCAGAGTGTGGGGGTACGTGGGGGTTTCAGGAATCTGGCTCAGGGCCAGGTCAAGTTTCTTTCAGTGCTTTGGGCAATAACCCAGATACCTTTATCAGTGCCTGGGAATGTTCAAGGCCCCCAAAACTGACGCTGGGTCACAAAATGTCAAGGCACTCTAATTTTGGATGAGGACCCAGAAGGAAAGCAGGAAAGAACCAGGACACCCTATGGCAGGGGTGACGGGGAAGGAACATAAAGTGGGTCAGCTGCGTTTATTGACAGGGGCTACCCAGCAGAGATTCTGGGCCGAATGCTGCTGTTCTTGGGTTAGAAAGGCCCCTGCCTGGTTGGTGGTTGGGGGGCTGAAACGTGGGCCAAGAGTGACCTACGTAAAGTGGTGAAACGCCAGACCCACCCTGGTGCACTGTAGCGGACGGGATTCAAAGGCTTAGGGAGATTGGGGTGAGTTCCCCTGCCCTGGGAGGGTCCAGGGGACACACCTTCTGCCGTGCCTGTGAGAAACGAATCTGTGAGGGGAGCCCCAGCCTCCTCCACGCGCTCTGTGATCGCTTCTCTCTGGCAGGTCAGACGTCACAGTGGCAGCTGCAGCCACTGAGTTAGGAAACCTAAGTGCAGCGGGGCGGTCGGATCCTGGGGTGGCCCGGGCCACATTTGTCAACCCCCCAAACAAGGTGGGCATGGCCCCTGTGATGGACAGCAGGGTCAAAGCAGCAACTGCCATCGTCTGCCACACTGAACAGTCACGGTGTTCCTAGAAGTAAAATAGACGAGTCTATTGAATTCTTACTTGATGTGTATGAGTAGAGTTCTCGGTCACGTGAACAAAAGTCTGACCTAAAAACCCAGAGTCGTGGCCCTCAATCAACTCCCAGACTGCAGCCAGGTTACAGACCCAGAAGCCCCTGAATGAAGGGGCAAATCCCCTTGAGGAAGGGCCCCGAAATTTATCCTGTTGGTCTTTTTCCAGCCTTCTCCAAAGGGGCCTGTATGGCTTTTCAGCAGGGTAACTACACATTGGAGAAAGGAAATAATCAGACCTTTTGGGGACTGCTGGGTGCTGACTCTGAACTGAATTCCAGGAGACAAACAGCACCGCGTCGGAGTAGGGGCTTGTGGAGGCCAGGGGACCCACGGAGCGTTACCTCTGGCCTGATCCCAGTGGGCCCATCCGTGATTTTCCCTGGTTCTGGAAGGTATGACTGGAACAGACGTGCTCAGCAGAGGGCGCGTTCCTGTGAGGGAGGGCAGAGCCTGCACGTGCAGGGCAGGTGGGGGCGGGAGAGGCCAGGCTGTGCTGCTGGCCCCGTCAGCCTGCTCACCCCTCAGTGACCGGACTCTGCCAGCGAGGCCCCCTCCCCACCCCAGGCTGGGGGTCTCTGCTCTGACTGGAGCCCGCAGTCAGCACAGGGGCTGCTGGCTGCCCTGCTGGGCCTTGGCAGGCCTCCTGCTCACTGCGTGACCCTGGGTGGGACGTTCACCCTGGTCTCTTTGTCGGATGAGGGCACAGGAGAGCCACGTGGGGAGGGCAGGGATGATGCAGACGTGGCTAGTGGCCTCTGTGTGCGCTGGCTCTGTGGGTTAGAGCCCAGACACCAAGGGAGGTGTGTGCGAGCAGGGGAGGGGTCAGCATGGACCAAAAGCACCAAATGGCCCCATTCATTCGGGGCTTCCTGCTGCCTGTGCTTAGCCTTCACCGTGCCGTAGAGCAGCAGCTACTCTCCTCAGCCTCGTTCTTGACGGGGGCGGAGGGAGGCTCGGAGGGGGAGTGGTATGCCTGAGGCCACACAGCTGAAAAGGGCCCCATGTCCTCTGCCTTCATGTGGGGCCTGCAGTCTCTGCTCCGGGCCAGTCCCAGGTGGGGCGGTCTGTGAAGGCAGGCCCAGTGGGGGCTGCACAGGGTCCCCGTGTTCTTCCAGGCAGCCAGTTCAGGTCCTCTCTGCCCACACCTGTCCCTTTCTCTCACCTTCACCCTAAATGAGAAACAGTGGCTCTGGGAAGGCCTTGACCACCTTGGAGGGCAGCAGCTGCTGGGGGTGAGGAGGGAGCCAGCTGGGTGGTCACAGGCTGTAGGGTCACAGACTGGGGCTTTGTTCACTGTCCCCGCACCCCAGCTCTGCATCCCTGAGAGGAGACTTGGGCCAAGGAACAGACTGGCTTCGCCTGCAGACTGGGCCAGCATGGCCAGGGCTGTGCCACTGGGACTGTCTGCGCGGGCTCAGGCCTATAGCTGGGTGGGCTAAAGAACCCACTGGTGTGCAGGGGACTGAGCTGCGCCAGTGCTGGGGCTGGTGAGAGCGGGGGTGGCTGCACCCAGGTGCCCCACGCTCATTTGCATGTCCCTGTTAAGGGGGTGGGGCAGGCGATTGGGCTGGGGAGGTCCAGTGGAGGCTGGCAGGCAGAGTTCTTGGAGGGGTGGGGAGACTGGGGTGAGCCCCAGGACCCTGAGGCCCCTCACATTGGGAGCCCAGAGATGGGTGGCTGTGGGCAGGGTCTATCCGCCAGGGGCTGGCAGGAGGAGGGGGATGGTATCTCCAGCTCTGGAGTGTCTCAACCACAAATCACGCCCCACCCCCTGCTGGGTTGCCAGAACCCCTGGCCTGCCACCCCAGCCCCTCCTCTCCCTGCGGTGTCCCCTTCCATGCCCGGTGGAGCCTCCCGGGCACCTGCTTGCTAGCCAAGTGCCCATTCAGGGGCAGCCGGCTCTGGGTGCTCTGGCAACGGCCCACAGCGGCGGGCAGGCCAGGGCACAGCAGGGCACATCAGTCCGGGTGAGGGCAGGTGGGAGACAGAAATCTGTGTCTGGGACACCGTGAAACCCAGCTCAGCCCGGGGCAGTAAACGTTTGCATAATGAGTGAACTGATAATGCTTTGGACTTTTGCTCACCCGCGGCTTTTCTTTCCCCTGAGTGACAAGTGCCAGGGAAAGCCGGGACCCTCGTGCGCGGGTGGCCTGTCTCAGGAACCTCCCTGCCAGGGACGGGCGGGCAGGTGGGAGGGGGCGTCAGAAGGGTCGGCGAAGGTCACTGCCGAGCCAGGCGGGGCCACCATGCCGCCCACGCCCCTAGGTAGCAGGCCCGACCCGCTTCCAAGCCCGCCGTCATCGAGGCCACCTCCCAGGCCCGGCGCAGGGGCCGCATGCAGCACCGGCCAGCAGGGGGCGCGCTCGCTCCGCGCTGCCCGGGCCCCGGGACGGGCGAGCGCGCAGGCGCGGGGCGGCGCTGCAGTTCTTCGAGGCGCCGCCGGGGGCGCCGCGGCTCCGACGGCACGGTGGGGTCCCGGTTCCACCCCGCGCCCCGCACCACCCCGGCCCGGCGGCCCGCGCCCAACAGGCCGAGCCTCCCGGCGTCCGAGGCTGCTGGCGGGGGGACCCGTTTGCTGGGCTTCGCGAGTGACGATGCAGCGAGAGCAGTCGAGGCCCGGGTGCCCCTCCGGAGCCAGCGCGGCCGAGGCAGGGCTGGGGACGGGGGTGGGGGACGGGCGGTGGCAACGGCGGCGTGGCGGGGCGCGGGCGGAGGCAGACGCTAGAGCAGCCGAGCCCGGGCCCGCCTCTACCCACGTCTCTCCCCACAACGGAGACGGCGCCTAGCTTCCTCCCCAGCCAGTCATCTTTGCAAAATAATAGGCAGACCAGGCGTTAAGTGAGTCCCCTCGGTGGCTCCCACGGTCCCTGCACGTGCTGTCCGTGGCCGACCCCCCCCTCCAGCTTGATTTCCTAGTCCGGAGAGGAGATCAGTGGTACTCATCGTAACTACGTTGTGTTTATGCCCCAAACCCTCGCACCTGCGCCTCGGGCCTCTAGGCGAAGCAGACTCGGGTCTAGAAACATGTCCCTGTGTTCCTGGAGTTCCTCGTTCCTTTTTCTTCCTTATCCTCTCTCCACGTGTCAGTATCCTTCTAGAAGCCTTTCCCGGTGGCT